GGGGGGGGGGGGGGGGGTTAGGAGACGAGGCTCAACGTCTCGAAGCCTGGGGTGTTTAGGGATTCGGGTCCATGGTGTCGGGTAGGGAAATAGGAGCATCCGGCATGCCAACGTATTGTGAGTCAAGTGACTGTGGGCAGCGTCAAGTCGGAGAAGTCTGAGAGACATCCCATCATTGGTGGAGCTGGTGGTGATGATGAGGATGATGATGNNGATGATGATGATGATGCTGCTGGTGATGGTCATGATGATGATAATGACAATGATGACGATGATGATGATGATGATGATGATGATGATGTTTGCCTGTGAGTACTACTCGTCTGCGCTGTGTCTGTCCGTTCCGGGCTGCATTAAAGGGATATAGTGGTGACAGTTTTCTGTGAAGACAAGGGATGCAAAACAAGGGGTCATAATCATGAGAAAAACCTCTTTATGGCATATAAAAATGTAGTGACTAGAATGGAATACATATTATACCAAGAATCCCCGCCCCAATGTTAACATCCTAGAAACGAAGCTTCTCGTTGTGAAGGCCTCCCTCCGAAATCAGCGAATTCCGTTTAGGGTGAGGGGTTTAGGGGTTTGGGGTTTAGGGTTTAGGGTTTAGGGGTTTAGGGTTTAGGGGTTTGGGGTTTAGGGTTTAGGGTTTAGGGTTTAGGGGTTTGGAGTTTAGGACGCCCAGTGGCTTTGGCTGCGTGGTGGCGGCGACTGCGAGGGCTCCGAACGGAGCTGCGGCCTCTGACCCAGGAGGCGTCAGCGGAGTTTCTGTTAAGCACCTTCTTGCTCCTAACAGTTAAGCTCGGCAGGAATTTACATGTTGTGGCGGAGTTCTCGGGCTTAGGTTTCGGGTTTAGGTTCAGGGTTGCTTTATAGGGGTTAGGGTGTAAGGTTTACATTAGCAAAAACAAAAGTGAGATAAGCCCGCTTAGGGTATTTGGAGTCCCCTGATCCTTCAAGTGATTGTTCGGGCTTTCCAGCTCTCGCAGAGGAAGGAGTTTCCATGACACTCGGCTTCGTCGTTGAGGACAAGTTACAGCGGCTTCGTTATGGTTGCTGAACTGATAATAGTAAGTCATAGTCACAATCAGAACAAGAACAACAACATATAACAATAATTGTTGTTCGATTACAAGTGCAGAAGTCTTGCCTGAGTATTTTGGTTATTCCTGTTCGCATGGTTACACAATGGCTATGTAGGAATATATAGGACAAGAATGTATTGAATGCTTTTGAGCTTTTCAACTAGGCTCAGTCAGGCAAGCTTGCACCCACGGCCACGAATTCAATCTTCCAGCAGGGGAGCCCTACAAGTAAGACGCTGAAGCAGAAACGCGAAGCCCCTCAAGCTTCGGTCATCCCTCGGTACTGAGCACTCGAACTCTGGCTCCAAGGTGCCTGGAGCCTGGAGCCTGACTTCTGCAAAGTAATTTCGATGCTCTCAATTCCTGCTGTATCACCCTGCACAAGCTTCGCTCTACACCCTTCAAGCCCTGAACCCTAAATCGCCTAAACCCTAAATCCAAAACGCTTCCTCATCACAGGAGGCAGCCGCAGCCGGGGAGAAGGGGATTCAAATCCTGGAGCACTGCATTTACGTTTGAGTCAGGTTAATACAGGGGCCTTATAATTAGTATAGGGTTTTGGGCCCCTTTCAAGTATATTTATAATAAGGAACCCTAGCAGCAATATTGGTACGTATTTAGGCTTCTATAGTAGGCTCAGGAGGACACGTCAGGGTTGAAGACATGTTTGGCATTTAGACTCCCTATTCCAGACATTCGGTCCCTGGGTTTGTTGGAATGAACCCTGGATACATGAACCCTGCGGCAATGAGGATTGCCGAATATGAAAGGCCCTAAAAGTTTGGTGCATTTACCGAGGCTCCACTGACTAATTGCCTCAAAGCGAGCAGGGCACCCTCTGCGAAGTGAGCAAGCTTCTGCATTCAAGAACGATGCTTTCAGTTAAGGTACGACGCGAAGGGTATACGGCTCTGCAAGACAGCCAACACCGAAGCGTGTACCGTTACATATACACCCTACACCGTCAACGCCCTCACCCTGGATCCCTCTTGAGATTTTTGGATGGGAGTCTCGGGTCAAGAGATGTCACGACAGACGAGTACCATGAAGGGAAGGAGAAGCCCTGCACCTGGGTTTAGGGTTTCGGGTTTAGGGATGTAGCTTATGTAGCCTTTCGACGGAGCCTTCGCGCGCAGCTATTCGAAGATAGAAACCCATGGATCATGAGCTCTAGCACTTCGCAGAAGAGTTGGGGCAACAGGTTCAAGCCTGAATCTCTGCCAGGGCGCTGCCACATAACCGCTTATCCGAAGCCGTTGGGGTGTGCAGTTAAATAGAAGTGGAACTCCTTCCTGGACCCCAAACGTACCTTTTAGGGGCTCCTTATTATGATTCTTTATATAAATCCTTAAAAAAGTAGGTTATTTGGGGTTAAGGTTGAGGATGTACTACTGCTGCTCGTCTGGAGGCCGAAGTCCGCTTCTTATCCGTTGCCACTGTAAAGGTTTTAGTGTTTGGAGCGTTAAGGGTTTAGGGTCTAGGTCCTTTTTTGTTCAGGGCCCCTTTGGTGTCCGCGAGGGTTTAGGGGTTTAGGGTCTAAGGTTTGGGGTGTTAAGTGTGATAAAGAATCTAAAAAAAACCCTAAACCCTAAATCCCTAAATCCCTAAACCCCTAAACCCTAAACCCTAAACCCCTAAACCCCTAAACCCCTAAACCCTAGAGCTCTCTCGGAATCACCACCAGACGCGTTGAGCCCCTTCCCGTCCTGGAAGTCGACTCTCTCCCTGCGCGTCTGGTAGGCATCAGCTCTAGCGACGAATATTATAGAAACCGAAACCCTAAAGCCTAAGGGTTTAGGGTTTAGGGTTTAGGGTAAACCCAACTCCCAGAACCCCAAAGCCTTAAACCCTAGTAGAGAGTTGGATTTCCACTGAAGGAAAAAGCGGCCCAAAGAGCAAGAAACCAAAACCCTAAACCCTAAACCCTAAACCCGACTCGACCCCAGCTCCCCTTCGAAAGGCCAAAAAAAGCCGGTGTCACGTGCAAGGAGCCTTTGATTCTCAGGCAGGATCTGGTAATATAGGGGCCTTAATAAGTAGAATAGGGTTTCATAGGGGCTCCTTTAAAGGGTTCCTTCAAGGGTTCTATAAGGGTTACTATAAGGGTTTAGGGTATAGGGGCCTTAGTAGTTAGAATAGGGTTTTGGGGCTCATTTTACTGTACTTATAATAAGGACCCCCCCCCCAAAAAAAAAAAAACTAGTATAGGTAATTCTTTCGGCCCCTCTATTCCTGCTTCGGCGTTGATGCTACGAAGTTTTTGCGTTCTTGGTGATATCGCTTCACACTCGGCTTCGCGAAGTTGCAACATCTGAAGCCTTTGTGGACGTGAACCTCCAACCAGGGCGCACACGCCGGAAACCTGACACACGGTTGATGATACAAATCCTGCATTGCCCATAATAGGGAATATGCCATAGTTCCCATAGTTTAAGGCCCTGAAGGTCATGCAGGATTTATATCATCAACAGTAGGGACCCACAACAATGCTTTGTGGTATCCTCAAAGCAACAGGATCAAGACAGCACTGAGCATCCAAATGTTATCGAAGCTACAGAATGAAATCAAATCAAAGTCATCCGGCAATCTCACAAACGGCCGCAAAGCTTTGCGGACCGAAATCCCGCGTCTAAAAGCTCCAGCCGTCAAACACGGATGGCATGCTGCGCAGGTCTGGGCTTATGCCAAAGCTGTGCTTGTGCAGTTCCTGGTTTGGGGTTTAGGGTTTCTGCATTCTGCCATGACACAAAAACCCAAATTTGGGCAGTCGAGAAATAATTCAAGCCCCCGAAATCCCCGAAAGACTAAATAAACCCTTTGAAGCGTGAAGGCCTAATCCCTTCTAACCCCAATTGCCCTGAACCAGAAGCTCTAAAAGAACTAGTATAGGGGCCTAAATAATTAGAGTAGGCTTTGGGTGTATATTATACTATAACTAGAACAAGAATCCCCAAAATCCTATTCTAATTTTTACGGCCCCTATGTTAGATCCTAAACTCTAGACGGCAGCAGTTCGGCTGCGGCCTCGCCATAGGACAACTCGGTCACCTCAGAGATGCCTCGCAGAGCTTGGGGCTTTCGCGGGTTTCGGGGTGGTTTTGTCGGCTTTTGTTTTTCTGCAGGACTCTAGGGGCTTCGGGTTTTGGGGCTGTGGGCGTTGAGGGCTTTTCGTGGGATTGAGGTCCCGCTTTATGGCTCCACCCTAAACCCTAAACCCTGTTACACAATTTCCCGGACTTTCAAGATCCCAAAACCGTAATCCCGTCGAGCCTTCAACTGGACCGAATTGAGGCGATGACTACTTTAGGGCGATAACTCGGTGCTTGATGACAATGAAATGAATGACTGTTGGCAACTCTTTGCAACCGATGGTCGAACATCTTAGCAGCTGCAAGAAGAGAAGGTTACAGCTTGCATGCCAGCCACATGTACCATCTTCCGAGAAACCCTAAGAAACAGTTCAACCCACCCTGAAGCCCGTGAAGCCGAACTCGACTCTCTTCGCCGGCCGCATGCTGATGACTTGTCCGGATGCCGGCATAACACAACACAAAACCCTTTCACGAAAGGACATTCAAAGTTAAAGCACATGCCACTGGTCAAAGAACATTAGGTCACCCATTTTAAGGGCTCCCCGGCTAGAGCAGGGGTTATCACGCAGGCCTGGAGGCAATGGTGAGCAGCATTCATCTACACAACCTGCCGGCGAAGGTCTTCCACATCGCAAACCATATACTAAACCAGGAGCTAAGCCCTAACCTAAACACCGGCACCATACATAAACGTATGGGAGTATAGGGAAGGTCGTCTAGGTAAGAAGTACGTCCTTGGGGCTTCGTAGCTGCGAGTGGAGCTACCGGTGGCTCGCTTGGAAGGGATGTGACGAGCTTTAACCCTTACCCTCAAAGGACTCATATTTTAAGGCTTTCGGGCCCAAAGACCCCATGATATAAGGCTTTTGGGCTATTTTGATGCTAAGGGTAAGGGTCTAGGGGCAAAACTGAAGCCAAGGGCGGCTTTGGGTGCGTTTCTGCAGACACAGTTGATGCCTCTCGGTGTGTCTGTGCACTGGGTATCGGCTAAAGGCTTGTGGGAGGTCCACAAGTGTACTCGTACGATTCGAGGCTTACGGATAAGGGCGAGAACATGCAGGATAAAGTGCTCTGAAAAATGGCTCCGCGCTACAATAATGGACGACGCCTTATCCTTATACAATGCAGGACTACACTCATGCATTGAGTATTTCGGGATCGCTCTAGAAGCCTGAATAGACCTGATTAACGGGATTTTTGGGGTCTCCGGAAACCGGGTTTCGCCCCAGCTGCCTTTGGAAGAGAAGCTGGCGACCATCGAAGGGAGCGCTCCTGGTGGGGTCCCGAACTAACATACTATACGGTTGATGGACAAAATCCTGCATGACCTTATATACCTAAACCATGGGATTTATGGTACTATACTATATTTGGGTCATGCAGGATTTTGTCCATCAACAGTATAGGAGCCTGAATAAGTACCCATGCACGGAAGCATGTATGAAGCACACACTGAGACGCATGAAAACACGCAGACATGCACATACATACGTACATACATACATACATACATACGTACATACATACATACATACATACATACATACATACACAATCATATGCATATACATGGTTATGTGTTTAAATGACTATATATATATATATGCATATTTTTCTATATATATATATAGGCATCTATATATATATATATATATACATGTAACTTTTTGTTTCTACATATAGACATATAGAGATACACATATAAGTATCTATATCTTCACCTATATCTATATCTGTATTTGTATCTATGTCTCCACACACACAGATATCTATCTGTGAGTATACACATATATCCATGCATAAGACACGCAAGACACACGAAAGACTCTCCACGGCGCTCCGAAAGGCGGTGGGGGCGGAGGTGGCGGGGGCGTCGCCGGGGGCTCGGGAGCGCCGCCATCCGAGGCGGAGGTGCTGATGGCCTATCAGGGCGAGGGTTTGTTGTGGTTTAGGGTGTAGGGTTTAGGGTTTTAGGGTTTGAGATTTAGGGGTTTGTTGGGTTTAGGGATCTTGGGTTTAGGGTTTATGTTGGATTTAGGGATATTGGGCTTAGGGTTTATGCGGAGTTTAGGGTTTACTTAGCTGTTTTGTGTTCGGTCTTTTCGCCGTCCACCAGGGTTTGCGGCTTAGCTTAGGGTCTATAAACGGCTGAATGTGTTGTAGTTGGCATGCAAGCTTGTTAAGCGGGCACGATATGTGGTGTATGTCATCCTGAGCAGTAGTCACGCATGCATGTAAAGCATTGCTGGGTTTATGCACTCACAGAAACCGGAATCCTTTTTGACCAATGCAATGCCCAATGAGTAACCCCTGACCAATGCAGAGTGGTGGTTTCTTTCAACTCACGGGTTCTCTAATATCCAACCGCAGTTCATGGCATGCGCATGCTGACCATATTTCCAGGCCCTGATAACAAGAACAATATAAAACAGCACCTACACAACCCTGTAAGACCCGTGCGAGCCATGTTCACGACTCGTTATTATAAACCTCTATACAATCCCTCTGAAACCTGTAGAGCCCTTACTAAGCACGATAAAGACCCTTGTGAAACCCTGTGAAATCGTATACGCCCCTCTGAGAAAACAGTCATGGCACTTATGCAAGCTCTTTCAAACCATATGAAACCCAACAAACCCGCCACCAGCTTGCCTCAATGTCTTTCTCTTCCGTCTCGAGACTGGCCTGGACGCTGAGGCGAAACCGACACTCTTTCTGACCCGATTTGGGGGCAGGCGCCCGAATTGGTAGTGAGAATAGACTGTTCTGTTGCAGGATTTCGGGCTTCGGCTTTGGTGGCGGGCTGGTTTGGAATGAAGGGCTTGGAGGTCACTTTGGAGTAACAGGGGCGAATGGTTTTGTTCGTGCGGGTACATGAGCGCCTCCAAGCGACCAGCTAGGAGGACCCTAACAGAAGGACCTGAATAGTCTTCAATGTGGTTTGGGGTATATGATAGTATAGCTTCTTAACGAAATCTGAGGAATAAAATAATAGCAGCACGCGATGTAGACGAGCATGCCCTAAGGACTGCATCTGTGAATCCTAGCAACATGGCCTTGGCTGCAGCTGCGGCTGCCGCAGCGAGCTCCTTCTCTGGCGACGCCGGAGATGCTTCCTGATATAGGCAGCCGACTATTGCTCCATGTAGTGGTCTGAGTGATTCGTGAAATCCGGCCACAGTCCCTGTTTGGTTATACTGTACTAAATTATATCAACATCCCAACATCCTGTTACAAGAGACCCCTACAGTAGATTGCACTTAATAGCGGATCGCCAGGGACTATGCATGCAAGGGCCACCTGTACAGGTCCTGACAGACCATTCCATGTGCGCATCCGTTGATTCACCATGTGAACTCTGAAACCGTGTGAAGTGCTATGTCACTATGTTATGTTGCAATCTGCAAAGTCTTCCAACTGTATTACGACATGCACCATGCCACTTTCCGGAAATTGCAATTTCAAACGAGTCAGTCTGCGTTCGCCAAAAGCACCCTCGCCTTCCGCTGGGCCGCGCGGTGCTCCGCAAAGATCTTCAGGAGCTCTTCATCTGCAAGGGGTTTAGGGTCTAGGGTCCAGGGTTTAGGGATTGGGGTTTAGGGTCTAGGGTTTAGGGTCTAGGGTGTAGGTTCTAGGGTGTAGGGTCTTGGGTGTAGGGTCGAGGGGCACTTGGCACTGGAGCTTTGCAAACCCTAAGCCCTCAACTTACCATGAAGGCTTTCGGCTCTTTGGCCTACACTGTCTCTGTGGCCCACAACTTCGTAGACCTCGGAGTAAACAAACTCAAAGCATCCTTTGGACAACAGCACGAATAATAGTAATAACAATCATAATACTAGTAGTAGTAGTAGTAGTAGTAGTAGTAGTAGCAGGAGTAGTAGTAGTAGTAGTAGTAGTAGTAGTAGTAGTAGTAGTAGCAGCGATAATAATAATAATCACAATAATTATGATCGTCATAATAATCATCTCACAAATAATGTAATCATAAACGTCATAACACTAACAGTAGTAATCCAAACTGAATCGACCCGAATGCTCTGGCCTGCGGGCTTTTGAAGTTAGCCGTACAGCTAAAGGCCAGTGAAGGAAGATCCTCTCAAGCCCTTTAGGGTTTAGGGTTTAGGGCTGAGCCCCAGCATCCCGAACTTATGTGTGTATATATATATATATATGTGTGTATATATATATATATATATGTATAAATATATATAGATCCAGTAGCCCTTGCAAGAGCCATTGTAACAGTGAGGCCTTGTATAGGAAACCTCATGAGAATCCCACAAACCAACCCAGACCCCCTAAACCGACCCCAAACCCTAAACCCCTAAACCCCTAAACCCCTAAACCCTAAACCCTAAACCCTAAACCCTGCTACCAGACCCCAAGCTCCTCACGTTGCTTCGGCTTGGCATTCCCTGGGGCCCCCAGCCTGAGACCTCGCCGGCCGTCTTGAAGATGACATTCTCCCAGGGCCTCTTGGGGCTTCGGGTGCTTTAGGGCTTAGGGTTAATAGGGTTTAGGGCTCAGGGTTTTGGGGCTTCGGGTTGTTTTAGGGTTTAGGGTTAATGGGGTTTATGGTTTCGGGTTCAGGGTTTTTGGGTTTTTGGGTTTTAGGGTTCAGGGTTTGGGCTTAGCGCCTTTTGGAGCTTGTGTTTGTGGCTTCGGGTTCGGGCATAAAGTTCTCAGATCCCCGAAAGCTGTTGGCAGACTGCAGAATAACCTTCATGCAGTTTGATGAAACCGGGAGAGAGAGAGAGAGAGAGATATATATATATATATACATAGAATCATCTTGCGAAGAGCACAAATCGTAAACCCTAAGCTAAGCTCTTAGTCTTAGAACCTCGGAAACCTCTGCACCCCCTCAGAAGCGCTTACAAACCCTTACTATGAAGCCTACAACTAAACGCTGTAAACTCCGCGGGGGAAGTCTGAGCGTCCGGGCCAAGGGGAAGGGATCTCGTTCGTCATCGCCGCGGGATCGAAGACTCCCAGCCTCATCGGTGAGGGTTTAGGGTTTAGGGTTTAGGATTTCCGGTGGTTTAGGGTTAACTACGGTTCGGGATCCGAGGGTTCCGAGACCCCCCCAACTACCCTCTAATATAGCCTAAATACCCACTATTCAGGACCATGAAGGTTCTATTCAAGGGCGCTTGGGGGGTGCTGTTTGGGTCCTGCAATCAAAGAATCAGCTGATAGAGATGTGCGGCAGTGTGAGGTGGGAGAGTTCGTGACGAGATTGTTCCCAGAGTTTCTCCACCAGGCTACATAGTCCTGAACGCCTAGATGCAGCCCTAAACCCTAAACCCAGACAGATCCGAACACCATCATGGAGCTCAACAAGTCTCCATTCATCCGGGTTTCTGGACTCGCCGCTCTCTTCGGATCCCCGGAAAAGTATGGAAACCCCAGCACATCAAGAGTCCTGGAGCTCTCGTCTTGGCATCGGACTTGTACGCGTAGGCGAAAACGTCCCGAAGAAACAGCATGAAGTCCTGGCCGACTCCGACTTTCTACGGAAGAAGCAGGGCTAGATTGAGCAGCAAGACTGCTTAAAGGATCATGGGACTTAGTAAGTAGGGTTATAACTAAGGTAACTATACTTACAACCCCAATTAGAGGACTTATAACCCTACTTACTAAGTCCCATGATCCTCCAAGTGGGGGTCTGAAGTAAAGGCACTGCCTAAAGTCAAGCCCTCCCGGACGCAAAACACGTGAAGGTAAAAGCAGCCTCATAGCTGCTTACATCGGGTTCCGAAAACACATTAATAGAAGGGCCTTCATAATTAGAATAGGGTTTTAGGGTATACTGTACTGTCACAGTTTACTGTTATGGTTATAATAAGGAACCTCCAAAACAGTATTGGTAATACTTATTTAGGCCCCTACATTATATGCAGGATAGGCTGAAGCTTCAAGGCATCGGGTCTGAACTGAACTTTTCCCGTCCTTGCCGTGGTTCATGTGCTTCAGGTGACAAAGCTCATGAAGCAGGACCTCGAGCAGGGACACGTCTCGGGCCTAGAGGCTTTCGTGAGGTCATGCAAAACCCCTCCCTTACCCTCAAAGGACTCATATTCTAAGGCTTTCGGGCCCAAAGATCCCATTATCAAAGGCTTCTGGGCGATTTTGATGCTAATTGTCTTGGTTCAAAAACGTTAAGAGTCCTGCAGGCTAGCTACTAGACATTCCGAGTTTCGGAGCTTACCCCCGACTCGAGTTATTGATGGGTGGATTTCGAGTCATGTCGATCCCGTATCCGCAATCACACCGAAGGACCCACGACCTCCTGCCGAGTTGACCTTGGAGGCGAAATCGCGGCCCAAGTGGCCGCAATCTGCGTCCCTCGCGAGATGAAGTCTGTCTGGGGATCCTTGGCGCAACATCCACTCGGCTAAGAGCTTCATCTGCTTGTATGCGCAAGACTTGTATCCTGTCCGTCTGCCACGATTATTTGTAAGCACACATATACATATGTATGTGGGCATATACCCCTGCATCCGCAGGCGGATACCTCCAAAACCTGACATCTAAAGCCTATAATGTAGGAGCCTGATTAAGAAACTCCGGCCCTATGAACCCCAATATATTCGGCTTCATTTATTAACAACCCGAATAAGGACCCAGGGTTTCTTAATCACGTTCCTATATTAAGCTCCACCAGAGGCCCCCACGCCCTTCGTCGGATGCAGGCGGAGCCGAAGTCTGATGGTGACCAGGTATCGAGTCTCCTACAAGGTTGTAGTTTTGGGGCCCTTAAAAGTATTTATGAATAGGTACCTCTATAAGAACCATAAGGGAAATTTTAAAGTTTCCCAAATTGCCATCTAGTCTATGAAGTGCGAGAAGGGGTGAACAGTGTAGGGTTCAGGCGCACTGTCTATGTGCATATGCTAGTCTGGTCATAAAGAGTGAAGCATGAATGAGGCCGAGATGGGGAACTCAGTCATCCAGTATAGCTAGCTAGCTTTGGCAGTAAAGCAAGCTTTCGAATCCTACAGGGTCTTAGGAACTTCGGAAAGCAATGTTCAATGTCAGAGAGGAGTATACACTCTTTTCGTGTCTTGATTTGTGCAAGGGAACCCTGCGCAAGCCCTGCCCGTCCTGAATCTCCGTGCCATCCGGGCCCTCTTTCCTGCCGAGGGAAGCAGGGGATGCCGGAAGCAGCAAGCAACACGTACCGCGGCGAACCAAAAAGCCGACACTCTTGCGAAAGTCGACTGCCACATACACGCTAACCCCCAGAGCCCCGACCCGTCCCAAGCAGTGAGCTGCCAGATCCCTTTAAGGAGCCCTTTAAAGGAGCCCCTATGAAACCCTATTCCACTTATAATTAAGGCCCCTACATTACAAGATCCTGCCTGAGAATCAAAGGCTCCTTGCACGTGACACCGGCCTTTTTGGCCTGTCGAAGGGGAGCTGGGGAGGAGTCGGGTTTAGGGTTTTGGGTTTTGGGTTTTTAGGGTTTTGGTTTCTTGATCTTTGGGCCCCTTTTCCCTTCAGTGGAAATCCAACTCTCTGCTAGGAGCTTTAAGGCTTTGGGGTTCTGGAATCAGTGTTTAGGGGCTTGCAGGACTCAAGGCTCATCTGTGCAGGGTTTCGGGGTTGCGGCTGGGTGTAGGTTCAGGGTTTAAGGTCGCTTAGCTTTAGGCTTCGAGGTTTGGCACAAACATGTAGCTGTTCTTTATAAGGTCTTTCTGGGGACTTGAGTTTCACGCTCTTTAAGGCTCTTGGGTTGGGCTGTCCTTGGACTTCGCTGGGATGAGGTTTTTTGGGGGTTTGGGCTTTGATACGTTTCGATCCTGGCCAACCGAAGCAAAGTGGCAAAGCTCAAGGGATTTGATTCTACTTGACGACTTGCAAGTTATGCTTATGACTGGTATATCAGTATATCCCTCAGCGTCCATAAACCCAAACAGTACATGTTTTGGCCTTAAAGTGCCTGTACCGGGATTGCTTATAAGGCCAAAGTAGGTAGATAGTATAGTTGGGCAGGTGGACCCTTATAGGGTGTGGTCTAGGGTGCTACAAACTTGGCCAAGCGGTGCCTTTCCCGGGCTGCTTGGAAGTTGTTTTCAAACGCAGCGCTCATCCGCGCATTAGTCCGGGCCGCTCGACTTTGCGGCCCCTTATTGCAAAGAAACTCGCATCGAACCTTGTAGCGCTGCGCTACTTCACAACTACGCAACCCATAATTCTTGAACCCTAGATCGCAATCCCAAAACATTAGCTATTATTAGATACTAACCGCACGCCCCTTCCTCGCCTGGGGATGGTGCTCGGAGAAGAAGTTGTACCGGAGGCCAAAGTGCCGGCACAGGGGCAGTGCTACCTCCACGCTGAAGCTTCAAGCTTCAAGCTTCCCGGGCCTGGAGTCTAGATTTCGTGTTCTGGGAACTGCGACTCAAAGGCTTAAATTAAAGCTAAGGATTTAGGATTCGAGGTATGAGGGTCTAAGGCCCAGAGTTGTCCGATGCGCTGATTTTGAAGCTGGTCTGGTGATTGTGAGTC